AATAAAAATTTAAATATATATGTTGGGTATAATATAAATTTATAATCAAATCATACAATATAAATTTTATCAATTAAATTTAATACATATTTTATTATTTTATTCATTATCCATCAAATCAATACACATCAAAACTCTCCAAACCCCAACCAAACCCAAACACAAAACAAACAACAAAATCCAAACTCATCCCAAAATTCAAAATAAAAATCAAACTCAAACCCAACTTTCCCCAAACTCCCCTAAAGAAACACACCCTTAATAATACTTCATCCGTCTACTTACAAAGTATACACATTATTTTTTTTACAATTACAAAGTAACCATTTAGTTTTTATATAACTATGAACACTGCTTTTTCTACCAATATCTCTATTTTTTACCATCATATTATTATTCTTACACCAAAAAATGAATATGAAATTGTCTTTACACTATTTTTAATAATTCATTACAATCAAAATACTAGTATTATATACCAAAAAATGAATATGAAATTGTCTTTGCACTATTTTTAATAATTCATTACAATTAAAATACTAATATTATATTTTAAACTCAATGTAAAAAATAATTGTGTACTTTTAAAACGGACGGAGGAAATAATATTTTAATGTAGAAGTGAAATTGATAAAAAGTAAAGTTGGAATATTATATAAAATTTATTAAAAAATTAATAATAAAGAAGTGGAGTAAATAACAAACCTAGTTACAAATTGATTATTACTCTATTGGTTAAAGTAAGGATAATGAAAATTTTGAGTGCATAAAATTATTTATTATAAATAAATTATGAATAAATTTAGAGAACAATGTAAAAAAAATTATGACATAATGATACAAGATGAAATGAGTATTTTTTATATACAAATATAATTTTTCATATTTTACATAAAAAAAAATACATCAAATTAAAACACTAAATAACACACTCACTTGCACTAAACATTAATTTACCTCACATTTAACTTATTTTTATTCATTCATTTATTTATTTATTTCAAAAATCCCATTCAAATACAATATATGTTTTTTAAATGTTATCTTTTAGTATTTAAATGTTTAATGCAATATTTTATGATAATATTATTATATTTTTAATTGAAAATCATATTTTGATTTAAAACTAAAACAAACAAGCCCGTGTGTATATTTTGAATTTGGAGTTGAGAATTTTATTTTAAAATTTGTATTTAAATAATATTTTACATCATATTTTGATAAAAATAAAAATGATTTCTTTGTTCCATTTTAATTGATATATTTTTTATTTGTCTGTCACGTAACAAATGATATATTTTTTTTTATTTTGAGTAAAATTTATTAAATCAAAACATATTTAGACAAATATAAATTAATTAACTATATAAAATGTAACATTATACATCATGTACGGCTATAATACCCCCGGAGTTGAGTCAGTGCTAAGCCAACTCCCGTTAATGAGCCGGTATTAGGCCATCCGAGGTTGCATATAGATTAAATTGATTGAATATGCTACTCATGTCAACAATGTGCACATTCTTTTAGAAAGCCTTAATGAAATAATTCTAGAATTAATCATGCTTACTCTAGAGTAATTTGAGGATAGGTGACCCGTGAAAAGTCTCCACGGTGCGCATGAACGATGACAAAAGTGCGTTGAAAGGACTCGTATTGATTTGTGGGGCCAGTCTACGAGCCTAATATGCTCTGCTTCGCGTGGCTTGCGGGTCAGGGTGTCACAACAACTCATTTAAATCCCTTTTTATTTCCACTCTCCTCAAAAAACAAATATCTATATTTACATTTTAAACTCTACAATCTTTTATAAATTAGTTCATATTAATTATAAATAAATAAACGTATTTTTTTATTTACTTGTAGAAAATCTTGTTATCTGCAAAATAATATTCATGTTTTATATATTTTTTTATTGTAATAGACTTTTAAAATTTCTAATCATATATTAATTTTATTTTAAAACTACAAATATTACTAATTATATAAAAATAATAAAATAATATTATAATTCATTATGAATGAATTAATTAAATATTATTATATAAAATATTATGTCGCTAATATAAAAAGTCAATTGTTCCGGAATGGAGAATGTATATTTTTACAAAATGTAAAAAGTCAAATAATAAAAAATTACAAAGAAAAGAAAAAAGACTCCTAAAAATTGTTTTTGGTCCTATTGAATTATATATATATATTTATTGGTCAAATTCAAACTAAAATTTATCAATTTTAGTACCATAGAAATTGACGTGGACTAGACACCACCGTGTTGGTGTTTTGAATATGCCTGTGTTAATGCCAGTGTTCATACTCGTATTATCAACATGACTATGTTACAATACATGTTCACGATCCTGTTATGAACACAACCGTGGTTATGTATGTGTTCTCAACATAGTCATGGTTATGTGCATGTTCACGGTCTTATTCTGAACACGGTTGTGTTTCTGTTCATATTTATACCATATTTATGCTCGTGTTTATCTCCGTGTTGTGACACCTTGGCTCGCAAACTACGCGAAATCGGGCGTGTCGGGATTGTAGATTGGTCCCACAGGTCAACACGAGTAATTCCAGCATGCATTGTCCACACTCATGCGCATATTGGGAGATTTCGCAGGGGGTCACCCATCTTCAAATTACTTTACTCTAGAGTTTTTTTCAGTAAGGTTTTCGAAAAGAAATGTGCACATTGTTGACATAAGTAATCTATTCAATCTATTTAACATCTAATCAACTACAGATGGCTTAATACTTACTCATCCATACACGAGAGTTGGCTACACCACGGCTCAATTCTGGGGGCTATCACACGTGTTCTCAATACAACCATATTTCTGTTCATGACTATGTTCCTACTCGCATTCACGACTCTGTTCTTGACATAATTATGTTATAGGTCATATTTATTATCATTTTTACTTTTTTGTTCAAACTATGTGATATATATTTATAATTTAACAAAAATATTTTTTTACGATTATTTTAAAAGAAAAACAATCAAATTTAATATTTTACAAAACAATTGAAAAAAACTATAAAAATAATAAATTAATATATATTTTTAATTATCATGTTATATTTTTTCAAATTTTATAGAAGATTTTTAATATAATATTACAGTGTGTTTGTTTTGTGAGATTGTTGGATTTTTTTTTATTTTTTATGTGAGATATAAAAAATTGTGTAGAAAATATAAAAATAATGAATAAATGTAATATATTAATTTTTTGTTTGGGAAAACGGATGAAATATTTTTTATAGAAAAAACAATGCCTTAATTTATAACTTAAAATACAGATATTATTTAAAAATTTATAGTATTTTAACAAAAATATTTGAAATAACATCGGTAATTTTTATAATTAATGCAAAACAATAAAATTTTTAATTAAAATAAACTATATTTAAAATAATATTTATATTTAATATTTTTAGAAATATAAATTTAAATTATTATAAAAATTGTACTATAAATTCTAAAATTATACTCCTCCGTCCCATAAGAATGGTTCATTTTTTATTTTCGTCCGTCTCAAAACAATAGTATCATTTCTAATAATTATACTACTATCTAACATAATAAATATATTTTTAACTTACAATATATTACACAATACTAATAAGGACATTTTTGTTTTTTTTTTACTAAAATTCAATATAGCACTAATATTTAAAAATTTATATGAAAAAGTATATGTTACTCTTCTTTTGGGAACGTATGGAATATATAATTATGATTATTAAAAATTATATATTACTTTATATTATAAGTTTTTTTTTTTTTTTTTTTGCAAATATTTTTTAAAATATTAAAATATAATTATTTTTCTATTTTTAAATAATTATAAAAAATATTTTTGTTGAAATATAAATATATATATCAAATAACTTGAAAAAAAATTATAATAAATATGACCTAAAATATGACTGTTAAGAACAAGATCATGAAAATAGGTACAAACATTGTTGTATTGAGAATAAAGTTATAAACATGGACATATATATAAACACGGTCATATTTAGTATAAGGTAATGAACACGACAGTGTTGAATATAAAGCAACCATATTAGCTATCGGTTGTTCAGTCACCTTTTTGAGTCATCAAATACACTCACATTCAAGCTAACACAACCATGTCCATGTCAATTACAATGAAATTAAAATTCAATAAGATCAAATTAATAATTTTTTTTAATAAAACTAAAATTAATAATTATACTTTCTCCGTTCCAAACAATATGGAAAATTTTATTTGTTTGTTGTCCCAAACTCACCGTAACATTTCTAAATTTATAAAATTAATTATATTTATCCCATCGCATCACTCAAATATACATTTTACTTTATCACGTCACATCACTCAAATAAAATATATATATATATTTATCTCCAATTATATCACCTAATTTTAAATTACTTCAAATTATTTAATACTATTCGTCTAAATTTCCGTGCCCAACTCTTATATTGCACTGTGTTTGGGACTGAATTGAATAGTATACGGGTGTGTTTGTTTGGGGATTTGGATTTTGAGTTGAGATTTGAATAGTAAAACTTTTAAATTTGAATAGTTGTACGGTGTGATATAAATAGGTGTTGATGTAATGTTTTGAATGTAAAATTAATTTTTAGTATAATATAAAAAATAAAAAATAAATATTTAATTTAATATTTAAAAAAAAAATGAAATAAAAGTGAATTTAAAATTCAATATCCCAAACAAACACACACTGACACCAAAATTATATATATATTTTTCTCTAATAAATATATTCACAGTTTACTGGACCCAATCTCAGCAGATCCAGACCGTTTATGCTACGCGGTTCATGTAGTAGGCAAGTGGGCTCCGCTGCGCAGGGGGTCCTGATTTATCAGGTTTTGAGATCCCGGGAGTTCAAGACTCTATCCACGAGGCTGAGTTTGGATTTTCCAGATCCAAGGGTTCAGATTTTACCCCCAATCGACCTATCTATCAATCCATCGACCCCCCACCCACCCCATCGTTGTTGTCCTTGTCCAGTATTCAGAGAAGAGAAGCAGCAACTCGCTGAAGTATAAATACAGCTGCAAGTATGTTAGCAGCGCAGCAAGAAAGAACAATCACGGCATTTCATAGCCGAATCTGTTGCGAAATCTGAAGACTGGAACAAGTCTCAAAAAGTCATTGAAATCTTCTTCTTGTATTTGCGCATCGTAGTCTTGCGGGAACCGTATGCGTGTTTAGTCGCTGTTTTCACAATCCTGTGTGCCCGACAACACAGGTACACTTTCGACGCGCATACACCAACGCGGTTGATAATACCAACAAGATCGCTATAATTCACTCTCGGTGTTCGCCTGCCTATCGGGTAATTTCCTATTGCATATTCCGTCTGTCTTGTTTGCGGGAGTTGGATTTGTTCGTGTAATTGGGGATCTGGGTTTTGGGAGAAGAAATTGAGATGCGTTTTCCTGTATTTAGGGCTAATTGAGATCTGTTTGACCTATTCCTGGATTTCTCTTATGTAGTGTAAATGCAGACGAGGTATATGGAGAGAACTAACTCGATGAAGGGGAGAGGGAAAAGAAGCTTGGAAGGTGGTGCTGATGAAAACCAGGAGCCTGAGAAGAAAAGGCCTGCTTTAGCTAGGTAACTAATTCTTATTCCTGCTTTCTTTTTGTTGTTTGATTTACACCTGGATATTTTCTTATGTATTAGATTCCTAGTGATTGCCTTTTCTTATCTTAGCTGTTGTAGCTGACTTCACTCACCAATCGTGGGCTGAGCAGCTCAATTTACTATAGTATCTTGGTAGGCGGAGTTTAGTTCAATATATTTGGATGAGCTATCTCTTATTTCATTTTATTGTATGCTTTTATGGATGGCTTTGGCTACCGTTTCTGAATTTCCATTATGATTCGATTTTCAAGTTGCTGTGTATTTTGGTACCAAGTGAATACAATACTGGCTGGCTGTGGCAAAATGTGATTTAGTAGTAACTTGAGCAGTTGGTAGTGAATTGAATGCCAAAGATTGATTGTGTTGTTTGTTTGACTTTCGTCTTTGGTGTTGCCTTGTTTATCGGCTGACTACAGGACCGATCACGTGGGTGTAGTTACCAATGCTAAATATGGACTAGTTAATGTTGTTGGACCTGGATACCAGGTGTCGGGAATAAAAAAAGCTTCTAAGACTCTGTTGGAATGCTAGTGTTTAAGTTTTGAGGGATTTGGTTTTCTTATACCTTTTGCTTCCTCTTACTGTGAATTCAAGTGTCATACTTCTGGATTTTGGTTTTTGGAAGAGAGGACTGATTTTGAAAATGTTTTTGAAGTTGTGCTTCCAAACCTGTTTCCGTTAGTGGACATAGTGGTTGCATTAGGTGTAGTCTGTTGTTGTAGTTTCTTCACCTTGTAATAATAGTGCCACTATTGGGCTGCCACAGAGTGGACTGGTTATCTGCTGTTACCGCCACTCCATCATGCTGTGTTTATGCACTCACATCGTAGCTGCTTGTTGCTGCAGGACGGTGCAGGTGGTTGTAGAAATATATCTATTATTTATCAAGAGTGAAAATGAGAAGAGCGAAAAGTAGGAATATAAATTCCCTTAGATTTTGAATTTTACTAACTTTAACTAGCCATAGATCAAAGTAATGGTGATTGGTTGTTTTTGTTTATATAACTAATATATGAGCGTTATTTATTGACCGTTATTCATATAACTATTTTCTTAGCATCTGACCGTTATTTATATAACTATTTTCTTAGCATCCGACCGTTATTTATTGACCGTTATTTATATAACCATTTTCTTAGCATCTGACCGTTATTTATTGATATCTGAGATTGAGAACTATGCTTGTAATAATATTTTATCGTTAATGGTTAAATTACTTATTTTTGGGAATAGATGTTACTAAGAAAATTTTAATTATATTATTATTATTATTGTTATGGTAACTATTTCATTGTCCTTGGTTTGAAATGATTGAAGTTCAACATGGTAATCCGCTACAGAAGAATGAAACCGGGCCTTTCCAATTAGGAATATTTTGATTTAATTATTGTTCAAGCTCAGTTTTCTTCTCTTGGTCTTGATCTTCTAGCTCTTAAGTCGATAGTCTTGATTCCCACTTGTTTTTGTAGATTATTGTTCTCTAATCCACACATCTCGTCCTATATGTTCTCCAATTTTTATTTTTTATTTTTTGTTATTAAATGAATTTTGGATGAAATATAAGTGATTGTTCGATAAAATATGGGTTTTATGCAGTGTTATCGTGGAAGCTCTGAAGGTGGATAGTCTCCAGAAGCTTTGTTCCTCCTTAGAACCAATTCTTCGAAGAGTGGTAAAGTTGAATGTTAACTGATTCTAAAATGTGATATGCCTGGCTTCTGTTACTTTTTATATATCTATTCATCGTTGAATGCGATCACTGGAAAACACCTTTTGTGCTACTCTCGTCTTTTTTGTTGATAATTCTCAAGGACTCTTGTAAGAGAAAGTTTATATCAAAGATTACATTGAATGCATAATTCTTCTGTTCTGCTTGGCGAGTGACAAACCTGTATCCTGTCATTGGAGAAAAATGGATTTGCTATTTGGGGCTCCTTGTATCTATATAAATGAAGGCATTTATTTTATTAAGAATATGTAGTGGAAAGTGTGCTTTCACACTCAGGTTAAGTGGAATAAAAATGTTCATGAGCTTCTGAATGGCATTGGCTTATATGTAGCTTTCAATTCAACAGGTTAGCGAAGAAGTTGAACGAGCATTAGCTAAGCTAGGCCCGGCTAAACTAAATGGGAGGTGGGTTTATTTGTTTTCCTTACTGTGAAAAGATAGCATTTAATATAAAATGATGGACTTTTTACTGTTTCGCATGCCAAAACCCCTCTGCTTGCGAGCTCTTTTGCTATTTAACCAAGCTAGTATCAGATACATATGCGAAGTCTATTCTATTAAGACTCCCCAATATGTTTCAGTCTGCCTTTATTCCTTTATGTTCTTTTAAGACTTTGGTTATACAGGGCATCTCCAAAACGGATTGAAGGTCCAGATGGGAGAAACTTGCAGCTTCATTTCAAGTCACGGCTTTCTCTTCCATTGTTCACTGGGGGTAAAGTAGAGGGTGAGCAAGGTGCTGCAATTCATGTCGTACTAATTGATGCCAACACAGGCCATGTTGTGACATCGGGACCTGAATCTTCCATGAAGCTCGACATTGTTGTGCTAGAAGGTGACTTCAATAATGAAGATGAGGAAGGTTGGACTCATGAAGAGTTTGAAAGCCATGTTGTGAAAGAGCGAGAAGGAAAAAGGCCTCTTTTGACTGGAGAGTTGCAAGTGATACTTAAGGAGGGTGTTGGGACTCTAGGAGATCTTACATTTACAGATAACTCCAGTTGGATAAGGAGTCGGAAGTTCAGGCTTGGTCTTAAGGTTGCATCAGGATATTGTGAAGGGATAAGTATTCGAGAAGCCAAAACAGAAGCTTTTACTGTTAAAGATCATCGAGGGGAATGTATGCATATTTCTCACTTCCTATACATGGACATAATAGTGTTTCCGAATTTCCAATTCAATAGAATGCTAATATACATAATTATGCATGTATGCTTTTGTCCTGGGGTCAGTAAATATGATCAAGTTGGCGTGCATGGTGCATTTAACGGTTCAAATCTTATGATTTCCTGAGAGTAAAAGAATTAAAGACTGATGAAATGAATTGCTGAGAAACATAAAATATTACGTAATACTCTTGTTGGTAATGATATGGTTTTTTCTCCACTGTATTTTTGAAGGCGTGCTTCTTATACTGTTATAGTCTAACTACTCACTTGTCACATGCACCCTCATTTTTCTCTATGAATTAGGATACGTTTTGAATGTTCCTGACATTGCATGAATGTTATGCATTATGAGACATTTTTTGTCTTGGAATGCTTATTCCAGCGCCTTTCTCTGGACAGTGTACAAAAAACATTATCCACCTGCTTTGAATGATGAAGTTTGGAGATTGGAAAAGATTGGGAAGGATGGATCTTTCCATAGGAGATTAAATAAAGCCGGGATATTCACTGTTGAGGACTTCCTTCGTCTTGTGGTCAGGGACCCTCAAAACTTGAGAAGTGTAAGTAGTACTAGTGGCTGGAATCTATCTTCACTACCTTTTTGATAATTAATTTTTTGGTTTTGATATGACAGACACTCGGGAGTGGGATGTCTAATAAGATGTGGGAAGCCCTCTTAGAACATGCTAAGACTTGTGTCTTGAGTGGGAAGCTTTATGTATACTACCCTGATGAAACAAGAAATCTAGGTGTTGTCTTCAACAACATATATGAACTAAGTGGGCTAATATCAAACGACCAATATTTTTCAGAAGATTCACTTTCAGACAGCCAGAAGGTTTGCTTATTTTCTCCTACAATACACGGATGCTTGCTTCTATAGTATTTTGAGGTTTCCTTTGATAAAAATGTCCATCTGTTCATTGCATTTTTTATTCAAGCAGAGAATAGTTCTGAAGTATTGAATTTTTGCACCTGCAGCAATTCTTTTCTAATATTAGGTTAAAGGATCAAATATAATACCTTGAGTTCGCTGTAATTGGACAATGGTGCTGATGTTCCTCTGTTGGGTTCTAGAACTACAAATGATGAGTTATATAGTTTGAGAAATTTTGGTATTTGTTTGGAGTTCATCTATAACCGTTTGGTTTTGAAACTTGTTATGAGTATCTTTATTGAGAAAGTGAAAGTACTGCCATTTTCTCTAAATCATATGTGACTGTAGGTATATGTTGATACATGGGTGAAGAAAGCATATGAGAATTGGACTCAAGTAGTGGAGTACGATGGAAAAACTCTCTTAAATTTCAAGCAAAATAAGGGTAGTCAAGCACTTCAAAATAAGAAGTCAAGCACTTCACGAAATGATCTTCCCGTTGGCCCAGTCAATTATCCTAATTCTGTAGATAATCATCTTCAACCCCAGAGATTGCCACCTTCAATTCCCTCTGAGCTGTCTATGGATCAGAATATGTTAATTGCAGGTGAATTTGCTTGAACACAACATTTCATTTATTTCTAATTATTTGACGACATTTTTATTTTCTCCAAGATGGATTCTTTTCAGTTAGTCACTTAACAATCAAATGCATATAATAGAATAGCTTGGTGATGCCTTATACTTAAACTGTGCTAGTTATTTTATTTTTGCGTTTTTCTAGTTAGCTTTTCTGGCAACTAAAATCAACAGAGAAGATATTTGGGGTTTGTTTGTTTAGTGTTTTGGTTTGATGTATTTACTTATTTATTTATTTTATATGAGGGAAAATTGCAAAAAATATCCATATGTATACCCCAATTATCACCTTTGTCTTGTATTTATCTTGCTGCAAAATATATCCTACATATTTGCAAAAGTCGTTATTTCTATCGTTTGGCTGCGTGTGACGTTCACACTAAGTGCGACTAAAGGATAAAAATAGCGACTATTGCAAACATGTAGGATGTATTTTGTCAGCGAGAAAAATACAAAATAAAAATGATAATGGGGTATACTTGAAGAATATTTTTTGCAAATTTCTCTTTTATATGATGTTTGGTGAGACGATAATATATAATATATTATATATATTGGGAATCGTGTCGAGAAAAAAAATAGCGGAATAACGAACCCTTGGTATCTGAAAAGTCGGTAGGACAATCTCTAAGTTGATGGAGAATTTAGCCGGATAGGTTTAAAAGAACAGCTTTGGAACACATTTTACTTGTAGATATGGTGCCAATTAGTTTAGTCAGAGGACCAAGGTTACAATGAAACACAAATATAAGGTACATCTAGTGATTTTGTAATCCTGTTAATCATTTGACTCATCTTTCTGTCCCAATCTCTATTTTTCACCATAATTTGGTTAATATTTTATTTACTCTATTGATCTGTTGGCTCGACAAATGCTGATTCAGGCTCAGGGTACAATGACAACATGCAGCCGAGATACTCTACCCAATCTCACCTCACAAATTCTGGTTCACGATCCCAGTTTGATGCTGCCTCATTCACACAGCAGGTTCAATTCCAAACTGATGCCTACAACAATCGGGTCGGCCTTGCCCTCGGCCCTCCTCAACAATCGCCGACATTCCAAGAGGGGAACTCTTCTATTCAGCAAGCTAATCTCAATCCTTTCGAGGACTGGTCCAGCAACCGGGACAAGGGCGTGGTTGATGATTTCTTGTCGGAGGAGGAAATACGATTGCGCAGTCATGAAATCCTTGAGAACGAAGATATGCAGCACCTGCTTCGGATTTTCAGCATGGGAGGGCAAACGCCTGTCAATGCACCAGATGATGGATTTAACTTTTCATCTTACATTCCTTCACCCTCTCCTAGTTTCAGTTACAACGAGGACCGATCCCGTTCTGGCAAGGCTGTTGTCGGCTGGCTCAAGATCAAAGCGGCTATGCGGTGGGGCATATTCATTAGGAAGAAAGCAGCCGAAAGGAGGGCGCAGCTTGTGGAATTAGACGACGAATAGACAACACATATCCCCCAAACTGTTGTTGGAATCGTCGAAAGCAGCCGGAGTGCAGCTTTTGTGTTTACTGACTCTTCTGTAGTCTGTGTTGTACAGAACGAGGTTTGCTTATAAAAGTTTATTGACTTTGATGTTCTTTGTGATCTTATGCTTGTTTGTTCGATGTAATGTTAATTTACAGTTTACATACGTGTATGTATGTGTGTGAAATTTCTTTAACATTATGTAATGTTGAATTTGATAATTATGTTTGCAGTTATGCTTCGATGCTGTTCTCTCCTCTTTATTCGCATTCATTTACTTGGTTCAGGATGATTCTACTTTAGCAAGATCCAATTATTCTTCCATATGGTAGAGAAAAATAAACAACATAGACGGACACATTGCAGAATTTCATGTATGGAGTAGAGCTTATTTAATTATATAATTAAAAGCAATGGTACTAAAAACCCATGTAGGATTGAAGAGAAAATTGCAGAAAATATTTCACATGTACACCTCTCTGGCAAATGTATCTTATCTTTTGGCTGCACATGACATTTACCCCATACGCGTCGTATATTCTATTTAAATAAATACTTAAAATTGTAAATAAAAATTATTTTTTTTGGTCCAAATTTCTTTCTCCTCCTATCCACATAATTAATGTAAACATCAAACTAAATAATTAATCAATACAATACTACTATTTTACTAACTAAAATCTTAAAATAACCATACTTGTTTTTTCTGCAAAAACCTTCAATTATTATACACCTACTTTAATTTTGGTCAAACATTTTAAATTATGTGACAATGTCCAATAGAGTTATCGAGACAAAATACCTACATATATCAAACCCAAAACTATTAATCAAAGCCGGTTGACAAATGTCTGATATAAAATAAGTTATTAAGATTACCCAACTGTAGAAAAACAAAGGCATCAATATAATACTCCTCGTCCTAATACAATAGTCTTATTTATTTACTATTTTTGTCTGTTCTAAAACAATATTCTTATTTTCATAAATAACCATATCACAGTAAAATTATTCCTACTTTTTCAATTTTATTTCATAATTGTCACTACTTTTTACACTAATACACTCAAAGGGCAAAAAAAAAAAAAAAAAAAAAAAGTCTTTTATCCTGATATTCCTTAAATGTCGTGTCCAACCTAATTAAGACTATATTTATGGGACGGAGGGAATAGTTGCATACTCAATTTGTATATTGGTCAAAAATCCGGCATCCCAAAAGTATTTACTTCTTCAAAGCTTCGAACAATAAGACCATGTTGTCTACACAACTTAACAACACCTGCATGTATAGCTACACCACAAAAAAAAAACATAATTTGTATCGGTTAAAAACAGCTGAAGCGACATTTGGAAAATTAGACAATAAGAGGACAAGAATAGTTGTATAGTAGCTATCAGATAATCTTCTCTTGATGTAATATTATGTCGTCATTCCATATCAAGCCCAACAACAGTCGGCCTACACCCATTGCGTAACCGTCTAACAAAAGCCACCCATTGTAAAAACGACTACTAGAACACATCAGATTACTAGTTCCCATCATCCAATCCCTGTCGTTTCTACAATGTCAAAACAATAATTTACTACTATTGGGAAAGAAAGAATCAGGGGTTTGTTTCTTTTAGAGGTTTTGGGGAAATTTTTGAATTTGGATTTGATCTTTATTTGAATTTTAAGATGAATTTTGAATTTTGATGTTTCTTTTGGATTTGGCTAGAGTTTGAGTAATTTTGATGTGTATTGATTTGATGGATATAAATATAATAATATAAATGTATAGTAATTTGTATAATTTAATTATAAATTTATATATATATATTTTTAAATTTTTATTTATTTGTATCATAAATTTTTTTATTATTTACAAAAATAACATATATATTATATATATATTTTATATTTATAATAAAAAAAAAAAGGAAGAAAAAGGACAGACTATGCTAGTCTGTCCCCAAATCCTGTCCAAGTCAGTTTTGGGTTAGATCACTATGCAACAGTCCAAAACTGGATTGGAGTCACAGACCTTAGGTTTCTGAAATCAGCGACAGAAACGCTGCGAAGTCGTAAAATTATTCAATGTTAGCAAATACAACATTTATTACACTTACTATTTTACAGACATTAATAACATACATATTCAAATACACTAACCTGCACCATCTGTTATTAAAATTCTTTCAACCAATAATTATCTCTAATTATTATTTCACTCACAAACACCTCACAAATTACTAATCCTTTATAAATAAAAACACCTGTCCAATCATTTTTGTTTAGACAGGTTTTCGGAGGTTTTTGAAATTTTAAAAATTTTTTAAAAAAGTATAAAATTAGTATTATATGTGATATTTTATGAAAGAAAATATATATTTGATGTGATATTTTTTGAAAAAATATATCTGGCCAAAAAAAAATAAATAAATAACCAAAGAAAGAACACACCAATGTCTATCTTTTGTGATATTTTTGTAGAATTACAATAAAATATATAATATATAAATAAAAATGGAACTTTTACTTATTTTTAACATATAAATTTTGATTGAAAAGTTTGAATAACTCAATTTTAATGAATGTAGTTTAAATATACTCACATATTTAAAAGATATAGTAGATATGAACTCCTTCAATTAGAATTTTGATAAATCAAACTGGCTATTAATCTGTCCTTCAATTACTAATACTTATATTATTGTTAGAACCAAACAGTAGAAGAATCGGCCTTGGTTTGATGGCCTTTTCGAGATTAGTATACACAGATAATAAGTTGGGGTAGTTACGGTGCTGATTTGAAAAAATAAGTATCATGCTGATTCACATTAGTATTATAGACAACACAATACTGTGTATAATAAAGATACGTGCTGTTTTTTAATAATAACAGGTGAGCAAGTAGCAACTATTGTGTGTGCTTAATGAAGCTACAGCATGTGCTGCCGGTTCATGTGTTGTATTTTTATTATATTAACATATACTGTGTGCTGTCTGTCCGCAGTGAGACTATAACATATGCGTTTTGTTCATGTGTATTATATTAATATATACAGCGTGTTGTTTGTAGTAATATTATGTGTTGTCTAATAGCTCACGATGTCTTGGAAAGACGCCCCCTAATAAGTTATATATATATATATATATATAGGGAGAGAGAGAGAGAGAGAGAGAGAGAGGGGGCTAGTTGTAGATGGAAATGGAAAAGCAGAGGTGGACGAGGATGAGGATGGAGGATGTGGTGAGAAGCGTTTCTACGGCTATGTTGGTATTGACTGCTTGTCTCGTGGCCTTGGATACTCAGACCAAAATCATCATTCTCACCTTCGCCAAAAAGGCTACTTTCACAGACTTGAATGCCTTATAGTAAGTATACACATATAATCATCACCTTAATTAAACTAATTGCTCGATTGGTCGGTCAGATTCTTTCTTGCTTGCAGTGTTCTAGTATGGATTGATGCAGCTGCAGCTTCTTACAATCTGATTCAATTGCTCAGAAGTTACATGATGCCTCGTTTCAGACAACAACAACAACAACATCAATTGGTTTCTTGCAATTATCTTGCTTGGGCTTGGGCCACTTACTTATCTGACCAGGCATGTTTCTTCGGCTTCTTTCATTTTTCTGCACTTTTTTTTCAACTTCTATTTTTTATTTTTTTTAAAAATTTTATATGATGATTATTTTTAGATGATCTGCAAACTTTGGTTTGTGTAGTTCTGATAGTTGATTTGAAATTAGATGTTGATTTGATTTTTTTTTTTATTTGAATAATATTTTAATATAATATTTTATTAAAAAAATTATGCCGGATAAATAATATTAATTGTTGTTTCAAAAGACAAAAAAACAAACCCTAGTATGTGTGGTTTTGATTTGAAATTGAGTTCATGGTTTTAGTTTTGATTTGAATAGTATTTTACTTAGGGTGTGTTTGTTTGGGAGGATTGGGTTTACACTATTCATCCAATTTTTTCTCACTAAAAATATCAAATCAAACACTTATTTTTCATTTTTTTATATTATACTAAAAATCAATTTTACATTTAAAACATCACATCATCACCTATTTATATCACATCGTACAACTACATCGTTTAACTGTTCAAATTCAAAATTTTTACTATTTAAATCCCAATTCAAAATCCAAACACACATATTTTGGGAAGTAAAATTAAATAGGAGTATTAATTTTTGTTTGAAATAGAAGCCATATCATGTACTCTTAAGAGGTCATGATGGATTAAGACAGAGTTTGCTAATTTTCTAATTTATGAAAGAATAATAAATGCTTTTTTGGGATGATTTTACTGTTAATTTGGATTTGTTTTTGTCATTTCTAATTATTATTATTATTATTATTATTATTATCTTAAAATTTTAAGTGTTTAAATGTTGACTTGATAAAGCTTTTTTAATGATAAATTGCATAATTGAGCCGTTGAAACTATTTAAGACTTGTTCATCCATTCAATATTTCCAGATTAATATTATAAAAACTATAAATAAATATACATTATCAATTAAAAAATTATTTATTTAATACTTCCTCTATCCATCAAATTTATTCTTACTTTAATTTTTTCGTAAATTATCTCATTACTATATTTGGAAAAATAAAAAAATTATTATTTAGTTATTACTTTTCATTCAACACTTATTTATAATCATTTTTCTTTATTCACGTGCTAAGCTTAAATGGGCTAATTTTCCTTGTATAAAATATTCCTTTCGTCCCAACATAGTTAACACCTTTTATTAAAATACCATATTTAATGTAACAATGTGTAATTAGTTAATAATAGTGAATTATTATATTATTATATAATTTTTATGTAATTAATAATATTAATAGTTTTAAAATAAATTTTAATATATGATTAAAAAAATATAATATATATTTAAATATTTTAAAAAATATATTTTAATAAAAAAATATATTCAATATTAATATTATTTTGTAGAGAACAAAATTTTTTATAATACAAGTAGATAATTTTTTTTTATTTTATTTATAATCAATATAAATTATTTATAAAAGAGGTAGACTTTTAAAAGTAGATAGCAATATAATTTTTTTTTTTTCTGGAAGAGAAATATAAATAAAATGAGTTTTTAGTGAGTTCATCATGTATGATGCTATATGCCATGTAGTTTTATTAAGTTATTTATATTTGTTAAATATATTTTGATTTAGTAATTTTTACCCAAAATATAAAAAATGTCAATTTTTATGAAACATACAAAAATAAAAATTGTATCAATTATAGTGAGACGAAAATAATATTATTTTTTATATTATAAAATACATTTCTCATATTTAAAAATACTTTAAACACAAAATACAAAACACATGTTATATCTCATAATATAATTAATATGTATATATATTTTTTAATTTTATAGTATAATATATATGTATATGTCCATATGATTCTCATAAATTAGTTTGATATAAAAAGAGAAAGTTTTAGATTTATTTATTTATAAGAGATATAATTATAAACGGGTTTTATAATATATATAATTGATAATTATGCATTAAAATTTTGAATATAGTAGTGATCTGAGACTATTGATCTAGATAAGTCAAGAATTTGTTTTATATTTTAAACATAGTAGTGATATTAGACTATTGATCTAGATAAGTCAAGAATTTGTTTTATATTTTAAACAGTGAAATTTTAAATTTAAATAATTATTTGATGCGGTAAAACTAAAAATTATTCAATAATTATATTTTAAATTTAAAATTATATTTTAATTACAAAATAAATATATTTAATTTAATGCTTTTAAGATAATTTTGCATTAATAGTAAAAGAATGATAAAAAAATTAGGCCTTGAGTTTATTTAGCATTTGAAATTAATTTGAAATTAAAATATTAAATTTAAATTTTTGTTTGAATAATATTTTATATCATTTTTTTTTAATAAAATACTCCTTCTGTCCACCTTAAAGGTTTATATTTACTTTTTGCATGTTGCTTTTTGAATATTAATTATATACCAAAACATAATATAAATTAAGTAAACAAGACAAAAAATACTTATATTAATATCTTATAATACGAATATAATAATATTTGTATACAAACTTATACAAATACAATGATATTTTTAATGTTAAGTACAATGACGCAAAAGGTAAATGTAAACTTTCAAAGCGGACGGATGGAGTATTATATTTTTTTTGAAAATCATACATATTAAACAATCTTATTATTATTATTATTATTATTATTATTATTTTAATTTGAAATAACAAACAAACACTTGTTTACATTCGTTTCATTATTTGTGTTGATATATATATATATATATATATTGTATCTAAACTGGATTGCATCTAGAAATATTCTATTGTGTGTTTGTTTGAAATATTCTATTGTGTGTTTATTTGAGGGATTTGTTTGGATTTCCACTATTCATCGTATTTTTTCCCTAAAAAAAAATCAAATCAAACACCTATTTTTCATTTTTTTATATTATATTAAAAATCAATTTTACATTCGAAACATCACATCAATACCTATTTATATCACATCATACAACTATTCAAATTCAAAATTTTTACTATTCAAATCCCAACTCAAAATTCAAACCCTCAAACAAACACACTAATTTTTATATTATTCTATAAAAACATATGCGTTTTTACTTGTGAGGTTTTGATGTTGGATTTTGGTTTTGAATAATAAAATTTTGAATTGAAATAATTATTTAATATGATATAAATATGTATTGATGTGATATTTTATGTCATGGACAAAAAAAAGTTATTTGTGATGAGACTTATTTTTTTTTAAGGAAAATACATAGTCTAAATAGTAAAAATAGAGTGTGTTCTTTTTGTAAAAAATACCCAATATATTTCCAAAAAAAAAAAAAATTAATATATTATACACATTTATTATTTTTATATTACCTACACAATTCCCTGTATTTCATTCCTTCAAATTAAAACACAAAACAAACAAACTCTTATTATTTGCATTTTACTTCCTCCATTTTAAAACAATTGACACGTTTGTGGCATGATATTTAAGATAATGTAATTTAATAAGTGAGATATATTTCTTTAATCAAAATTTTTCAAATTTTATTATTTGAATTCCATGTTTTCTGAAAAAATATATTTTTTTCTCTGACAAAATATGTCATCAACCCTTATTTTAGTACTAAACTCAAATCAATATTTTTCAAACTCAACTAAAAGAAACACACATGATTTGGGTGTGTTTGTTTGGGGGTTTGGATTTTAGGCTGAGACTTGAATAGTAAAAAATTTGAATTAGAATAATTGTATGTATGATATAAATATATATTAATGTGATGATTTAAATAAAATTAATTTTTAGTATAATATAAAAAATAAAAAATAAGTGTTTGATTTAATATTTTCGGAGGAAAAAATTTGTATAAATAGTAAAAATATTTCCAAATCCCCGAAACAAATAAACCAGAAGTATATTATGATATTATTTTATTATTTTTTGATGTGAGAGGTTTAAAAATAAAAATTTATATATGATTTAAAAAATTTAAAATGTGTTTAAATATTATATCTAAATAAAATATATAATATCATTTGTAAAAAAATAAAATTTTATATAATACAAATAAATAAATAAAATATATATTTATTTACTTATGATTAATAAACTAATTTTATAAAATATAAGGAGCTTTAAATATAAATAAAAATATTTATTTATCGAGGAAATATAGGGTGTGTTCGTTTGTAGAATTTTGATAAAATTCTACTATTCATCCCATTTTTTCCCCCTCAAAAAATCAAATCAAACACCTATTTTTCATTTTTTATATTATATTAAAAATTAATTTTACATTCAAAACATCATATCAACACCTATTTATATCACATCATACAACTATTCAAATTCAAAATTTTTGCTATTCAAATTCCAACTTAAAATCCAAACCCCCAAACAAACACACCAGTATAAAAATAAAGGAGTTTTTGAATGGTTCTTACTTTTATCCTACTTACAACAAGTCAGTAATTTGATTAAATTGATTTATATTTGTTAAATATATTTAAATTGATAAATTTATTTAAAATAAGAAATATGTCAACTATTATAAAACAATTTGAAATTGAAAATATTTTATTGGACCAAGAGAGTATATAATTATAATTATTTTTAAAATAATATCTATATTAAATATATTTTATTAAATTATAATATTTATAATATTTATATTAAATATATTTTCAAATTTTATTATAATTAAATGAGTATATATTTACATTCTAGAGTAAATTTAATTAATAAAATCACAATTTTAAACAATCATTGCAAATGTTATTAAGGATTTGTTTCTTTTTCCAAAATCTCATATTTATACTATTTGAATTTTATATTTTTCAATAAAAAAGATATTTTTTATCTCATAAAATATTTTATCATATATTATTTTAATAACAAATTTAAACTAAAATTTTCCCAAACTTATAACATACCTATGATGATGATGATGATAATAATAATAATAATAATAATAATAATAATAGCCAAGTTGGGCTAGTGGCAGTGAAGATGTGATCTCCAACTAGTTTCTGTAATAAAT